GCACTGGCAATTGGGAGAACACACCAAAGAGAGGTCGGATCATACAGGGGCAAAACACCTCCCTTCTGCTCCCTGCCACCCATCACTTGCTGCCTAAGGCAGCCATCTCACTCAGCTTCATGGGAGAGCCCTGAGAACAGTCAATGAGAACAGTGTATGTGCTGCCATGCAAATTCAAGACCAAGAGCCATTTGTTAAAAAGCTTGCAGCAAAACTCAAGGCTCCAAGAGCTACTGCCAACCCAGCCCCTTCTCACACATCTTGCAACAGATAACAATCTCCTGCAAAGTGCTCTATGTGGGGCTACCCTGAAGTAGTTTTCCCTAACCTGGTGCTCTCCAGATGAGTTGGACTATAACTCCCATCATTCCCTGAAAACTGCTTTGTACATTGGTTTTCATCAGCTCCAACCAGCATAACCAATAGTCAAGAATGCTGGGTGTTGTATTCAAAACATCTAGAGCAGTGATTTTCAAAGTGGGTGCTGGAAAGATCCAGGGGGGCGATGACTAGTTGCTTTAAATTTGCAGTAGAGCAATAGACCCAATAGAAAGAGGCATGGGGATGCTAAGGTTGTCACCCAAGAGGAAAGGGGGCAGCAGCTTGAAAACATTTGGGTACCACTGGTCTAGAAATTATTATTATTATTATTATTATTATTATTATTATTATTATTATTATTATTACATTTCCATGCCGCCCCTTGCTGAAGCCTCGGGAAAGCTGTTTTAGGCTATGTGTTCATATCAACACATTTAATTGCATTCTAATCTTATGTCAGTTATGTGGAGAAAAGCATGCAAAATACCTGCAATCTGCCAAGAATGTTTTGTGCTTTAAATACTGAATTTCTCTAGTGCATCCATTTACCTCCCTTGAATGGCCAGAGTAGGCAAGCCATGCAAATAAACAAGTTCCTTCAATCACACTTTTTCTTACCATTTTTGTCTTCCTCCTTTTATTCCTTCTTTTACTTCTACCTCCTCTTTCTTCCAGGAACAAACTTCTGAAAAACAAGCTTGTATATAATAAACTCAGGAAATTGAGTGACTGGGAAGTAGGGGTAATCTGAAGGCAGTTGGGTCAGAATCACAGGCTTTATAAGGCCAGGTGGAATCCTATCAGCTCCTTGTGTCACTTGACCCTTGAGATACTAGCAGCTTGAGATACTAGCTGCATTATGGCCTTCTGGCTCCCAGAAATGGCCATGCCTAAACAGAGCTCCTTCTTTTGACAAGTGGCAAAGGGGAGCAGAGTGAAACACACCTGGAAACTGGTTGCCAAAATACTGTTTTTAAAGACCTACTGTAATTTACATCTCTCTAGAACTGTAAACAATTAGCACATGATAGTATTGTGTTTACAGCATTATAAACAAATTATGGCAAAACTATGGCCTGATACATACAGTTTGAGTGTTGAGCCTTATTTTGCACAGACACACACTTTTCCTCAGATAAGCCCTATCAGTTCTCCCTTTTGCCAGAAGCACATTGTTTAGCATGCTGCCTGGCTAGTTGTTGGGACAGTCATGAAGCTGCCTCCCTCCCCTTCTTCCCAGCTACTTTTGCAGAATTTGGATTGTCCTGGCCTTGTGACAATTATAAAGCCATGTCCTACTCCCTGCTCAGAGCAGCATTTCAAATAAGAAATAAACAAAACATATCTGCTTGTTCTTTTTGAAGTACTCACAAGCATTTACCTAGATAACAGGGCAGTCACTCCATTTATTTTAATCATGATCTAAGAAATGGTGCTGTGGATGTATGTTATTACAAGAATGGAGGAGGTAGAGAAAACAGATCTTGTTTCGTGGGAAAAACAAACAGGCTCCTGTAAGTATTGTGTCTCTATGCATATAAACTTAAGTGATTAATGTAATGGCATGAATCCAATTTTCAAAAGGAAATGTTTGATAGTGAAGGAGAAATGTTTGTGATAGTGAAACAAAAATTCCATCTCTGGCAGTTGTGTGCTATGCATGCAGGTCTTCAGCCCACATTGCAGTTATGCTGTTTTATGTATCTCACTGCTAAGGAATAGACAATTAGTGGGAACAGAGGGCAGGGCCTTCTCTGTGGCAGCACCCTGATGAGGACAGATTAACCCTCTTTTTTGCCTAGCTTTAAGCAGGCTGAAAGGACTTTTGTCTAGGTTAGCTTTTAATAGATTTTAAAGTTCTATTTCTTCCCCTTCGGATGTTTTAAAGATTGCTTACTCTTCTCTTAATTTGATAGTTTCATTTTTAAAGTTACCTATTACCTTGGAGCCTTTTTGGCAGAATGGCATTTATACATGTTTCAATTCAACTGCAGTTTGACCTAATACATCATTACGCTGTCATTGCCTTCACTTCCTCCCTCTCAACCTGATCCTCTTGCAGCTGTCTTCATGATTCTAGGGAAGGAGCAGGATGAGTTTGCATCTCACCATAAGAGCCTCTGACCTCATTTCTAGTTTCAGATTTGTTTACACAGTCCAATCTACACAGGAAGTAGAGAGATAAATTTACCAATAATGAAGGGCTCTTGGCCCATTCTGCCACTCAAACTGAGTTTTGCATTATGTAGGAAGGAGTGCTGATAACGATGTATGGTCAAAACTGATGTTTCAGACATTATCTGCAGTAAGTTAATAATCAGAGGAAAGCTGATATAGGAAGGTGACAAAGCAGCTTCAGGCAAGAAACTATCCTGTTAGGTTCTCTCAATCTGCAACCTGTGGAGAATAACACTGCCCTTAAGGGGCTGTTATAAGGCTATGTGAAGGACTTTGAACAGCTGAACTATATAGATTAACATAATAATAATACATTCTGCATAGAAATTATACATGTGACTAGACTTAAAGGCAATTTAAATATGTAAGATTTAAACACATCTGTAGTAATTCTTTAAAAATATACAGGTTTAAACATAGATTGGTAGAAACAGTAGATATTACTACAGGTGCTATGAACAATGACAGACACTTACAGAAGCGGTACACATTTGCCTTCATTTTGTCCAGCATCAAGAACTCATTTTATTAGGAAATAGTACAGCTTGGACAACTTGAGTGTGAATTCCCTACAGTTATATGAATCCTTGTAACACATATATACACAAACAAATTATACAAACATTACAGATACTATAAACATTTTTCTTGGATGGACTTTTCATATCAATTTCAATATGAGTTAATTACACTTTGTGATTTATTGGTGTTGTCTATGCCAGCTCATCTGGCTACTCACACTTTGCCACAAGCAATTTAAAGTAGTAACAATATATTCTAACTAATAACTAATTTTCAGTGCTAAGAATACATAATGGGCAAAACAAACATTTTACAGGTATTTGGGATGCTTTGGAAAATAATATAAATCCTGGGAGAGACATATATTATAGAGCACAATCCAGGAAATGTTTATGTGATTTCAAGACTCAGTGATTGCAATGGGGAAAGTAAGCTCAGAGTTGTGGTTTCCCATGCCTGCTTGCTGAAATCAGTGGAACCTCACTTTGTGTTCGACTAAAAGCCTATGTGTGTTTCAATTCTGTGTGAAGGGGTCTGGGTGAGAAAGTTAGCATGTACCACATTATTTTCTGTTAGAATTTGAGTTATTTTTGCAGTACTTGCTTTGTCTCTTTTTATGATATCCCTAATGTTCAATGCTTCTGATAGGTCATCAGATAGTTCTAAATATTAGTAACATTTAGCTTACTCAGAAGAGAGACAGAAAATTAGTGTTGGATATGTGCTCCAACAGAACTGTCATTTTGGTTGCAAAAAAATGTAATTTTACTTTGCAGGGCTGAAACCATGGTTTTAAATTATTATAATATACTTGGGGGGGACGCATTATTTTGAATTGGTGCTGGATATGGAGAATTGAAGAATAATTCATGGTGTTTGCAAGGCCTCCGAAAAACATTAGGACAATTAGGCAAGGTAATGAACCTCTCTTAATGTCTTTTCTCAAGAAACCTGTTTTAAACCCCTAAAGTACTTTGCTAGCTCTTCCTCATCTTTTTTCTTCTTCTCTTTATTTAGCTCAGGTATGCCTCTTACAAAGGCTGCAGTCCACAGGGCCATCAGTGAAAGGGAAAACAATAGATGCATAAGCCCTTGCACAAACTATGTATACAATAAATGATGACAACAGACTGCCATGTGTTGAACAGTCTCCTGAATGAAGCTAGAGTTTTCTTGCAGAAGAACAGCTGCTGCTCCTTATGGGGAAAAAGTTTATCCTTGTAATACTTTTAACTGACAACAGATAAGTGAGGGTAAGTGTTCGCTGTGGACAATGATATATACTGGCACTTTTATGATGCATGCCTCAGCAGGATAATGAGAGCTACCCTCTGTAAATTTTTACCTTTTAAATTAGTGATGTCAAAATCAAACACCCTTCTCCTATAGCCATTTCTTTCAATCTCTATAAGTCTAAAGATTTCAGCTATAGTGGTAGCACATTGTGCCTTTTAAAACCAGGATCTTTTAAAGATCCATTGGGAAAGTTGCATAACCCCCATGTAGTATCCAATTAATTTGTTAGATATCTTTTCTTGCACACATTCATTAGAGCTCATACAGCAGTGCATCCCAGCTGATTAAATGCAAAAACAGTCACCAGTGGAAATAAGAGACATAGCAGGCGCTTCAGCTGAAATGGTTCCAGTAAGCCAAATTATATTTCTGTATGAATAATCCATTGGAAGTGAATGTATTGCAGTAATGTAGCATCAGGTACCTAGTTAGGTACATTGTTCTTGTCTCATCCTCTTTCTATTGCTTTTTAGAAAATAAATCTTATTCATTAGTAAAATAGTATAGAGTAGAAGAAAACAATCTTTCAATTAGTCTTAAGAAAAGGACCACAAAACTGGTCAGTATTCCTATTTGATGAATAAAAGTAATAAAATAAAAATACAAAAGAGAAGTATAAGTTAACTATGCTACACCTATGGCAATTTCACATGATTTCATTGCTTATCTCACTGCAATTGCTTTTAAGAAGATGACATACAGTCCAGAAACTCATGACATATACACTGGCAAAAACCATAAACCATAAGAATAACAAGGCTCGAGGGAACAAGGCTGACAAAGACTACCCCAAGAGTGACTTTCTTTGATACCAGTAAGTAGATCCCTAACGGCAAGGAACTAAAATACAGCAGGCCTAGCAACCAAACTAAGACTCGAATTGTAGTCTGGAAGAGCAAGGATGTACAGTTCCACACTGTCCAGCTGTGTGACACGGATGCAACGGAGTCAAAACTTGTGGGCCTGTAGAATTCCACAACAGGGGTTGAGTTCAGGGTTGGAGGACTCTCTCTCTGCACTTCCATAATGGTTATAACCAGACAGTTGGAAGACGTGTGAGAAGGGCTAACGAGGGAGGCAAGCCTTTTTGGAGTCAGTAAAAGTTCTGTAGGATTGTCTGGTAGGCACTTCTTCACCTTTCCACCATATGCCAAATTTACAAGGATGTTGTTATCATCAGGAAGGCTACTCACCTCATCATCAGGTAGGCATGTCTCGAACCTACAGAATGGGCAAACAATGACTCCCTGAGGAGAGTCCCCAAAGTCTATGATCTTGCAAAGGCATTTGGCACATACTCTGTGGCAACACTCCAGTACTTTAGGTTTTCTCTGTCTCAAGTTATAACGGTTGTAACAGATTTTGCATTCCAGCTCATCTGAGCTCTGGGGCTCCATGGTATCCTCTGGAAGTAGACTGGTCATTTCTTTTAAATATGGAGACCTGTGGTAATGTCAAGCAAAGACTGGTCCTTCTTTACAAACTAATATTTTAAAGCTCCTTTCTGGTTAACACTTCCCTTATATCCATCAAGGTATACAGCACCAAGAGCCTTCATGTTCAGCCTCTCTCCATCACCATCTGCTTTATCTTTCAATACCTTTCTTATACCCATGTGCAAAATACAACATGTAGTTTCTGTAGAGGAGAAGGAAAAATACATGAATTCATATCAAGTTCTTGTTTATCCTAGATCTTATGCATCTGTTGTCACTGAGAGATCAATTTGATAGGTAAACACTTACCCAAGAGTAAGCCCCACTGAACTCAACAGGTCCTCTTTCTGAATATGTGTAGCATATCATGATTGCTTATTTTGCAACAATAATTTTCCAGTAGTGTATGGCTAACATAGTCTGAAGCAGGGATCTTCCTTCTACATATATAGAAGCCAGGAGCTTGGATACCTATGGGTCCAGATTATGAATAGCTGAATATTACTATATGATAAGAAGGTATAGATTATGTTTTATTAATTTGTGGGTGGTGACAGTCTACCTCTGAGAAGAATAGAGGCAAAATGTTGCAGAGTGGAGGTGCAGGCCTTAGTTCTCCAACCCCTTACCCCATTAGCCTTACACCTCTGAACAGAACAGCTAAACTGAGAAGTGATGCCTAATACACACCAGGAAGCTTCTTGGCTCAGTTTTAACTCTGGTTGAGGCCCTCGAGTCAGTGCACTACTCTATTGTTGTTATGTGCTGTAAAGCTGTCTCCAACGTATGGCGACCCTGAGAATGAAACCCCTCCAAAATGTCCTATCCATGACATCCCTGCTTAGGTGTTCTAAATTAAAGGCTGTGGCTTCCTTTACAGAATCAATCCATCTCTTACTTGATCTTCCCTTTCTTCTTCTGCCTTTGACTTTCCCTACTCCATATTTAAGCTATTAACTTCCCTCTAAAATTGATGCAGTTAGTCATGTGTCTCTGGCTTTTTTTTTTTTTTTTTTTGCTGCTTTCATTTTAATTTTCCTGGTGCCAACTAGTGCATGTTTATGGACTGGTACAGTGAAGATTAACATTGGGGGGAAAACTCAAACCCACAAATCAAAGGTCAGTGAACCTGTTTTGTCTCATTATTTGTAAAAACATTTTGCCCCATTTTTCAACACAAAAGGCTCCCAGAGCAGTTTACATAAAATCAATAAAAACAAGGCAGCCTTTGCCTGTAATCTAAAAGCCATGACACAAAAAGAAGCAAAGAAGTAAAAAAGATGGAGGAAGGAAAAAAACAAACTCAATGACCAACTGGCCTGGACACTGCAGTGGCTTTGCTTCCCATCGCTTCCTCTGTGGCTGTCTGATGGAATAGTTGCTGCCTGGTGACAAACACACTATAAAACCATTGTTTAATTTTGAAAACTATATAACTGATTCACAAAGAGTATTCTGCACCACAAATATCCTTACCATATTATTTTTATACTTTAGGGTAGCATCTCTGTGCCATGATGCAATGCCAATTCAGTTTTTTCTACTTTTAGAATGCTCAAAAGTTTAGTCATTTCTATTACAGTATTCAAGATGTATGGAGGAAACACCTGTTGGAAACCACAAAGATCCTGTTCCCAGATATCTGAAGGTGTGTGAGGGAATCATCATAAATCTGACACAAATGGAGATGGGGAGTATAACATGGGTTGCCCAATTCTAATTACAAGGGGAGTGAGACAGGGTTGTATTTTGGCCCCTTTTCTTTTTAATTTATTTCTAAATGATCTGGCTTTCCATTTCTGTAATATTGATTCTCATGCTCCCAGACAATGTAATACTAAGGTACATCTAGTTCTGTAGGATGACGATGCGTAATGCTATCATTTTCCAAAAGTTAAATTGTTTACTAGCTGCATTTGGAACATATTGCTCTATAAATAGCCTGATCATTAATTATGAGAATTCTAAGGTCCTGGTGTTCTCTGACGTTAGAAAACAATTTAAATGGACTTTAAATGGTAACATCATTAACCAAGTTTCCCATATAAAATATCTAAGAATTTAAATGCAGAGCACTGGGCTCTGATTTGAACAACATAGACAAGCAATTGAATCAGCAAACTTTAGCCAGCACATTTTAAAATTCTTTTTACCCATGGTGGGCATCATATCCCCTCTGCAATACAAATTTATAAAGCAAAGACTTATTTTTGGCATCCCTATTTGGATTGTGGAATTTCATTCCTAAATGGAAAACAGCTTACTCTGTTTTTCTTAGGAAGCTTTCAGACTTTCTCCTTGTGCAGAAAAGCAGGTTGCTTACCTGTAACTGATGTTCTTCGAGTGGCCATCTGTGAATTCACACATATGGGTGCTGTGCCTGTGCAGTGCCTAGGCCGGAAGATTAAAAAGCTAACGGTTTTTGGAGGGAAAAGCTCTGCTCCCCTCCCCCATATAGTATAAATAGAGTGGAGCATCCGCAGCCATTTTACTCAGTCTTGAAGACCGACGTTCGCCCCCTAGCAGTCAAGGACAGTACTACAAGAAGCTGCATGGGTACCCTAAGAGCAGTACGGAACCGACAAGAAATCAATTCCACTCACTGACACCGTGCAGGGCCGGAAGGTGGGTTGTCTGAATGCACAGATGGCTACTCGAAGAACATCAGTTACAGGTAAGCAACCTACTTTTCTTCATTGTGGCCTCTGTGCATCACACATATGGGTGAGTAGCAAGCTTACCAGACCCGGAGGAGGGAGGTGTCGTCACTGAAGAATGGCAGAGAGTACTGCTCTACCAAAGGAACAGTCCTGTCTGGCACGCACATCAAGCCAATAATGCTTGGCGAAGGTACACGGAGCAGCCCAGGTTGTGGCTCTGCAAATATCCTGGATAGGAACACCTGCTGCAAAAGCCGACGAAGTCGCTACTGCTCATGTAGAATGGCCCCTTGGAAGCGTAGGTAAGTCCATCTTTGCTAGCTGATATGCCAGTGCTATGGTTTGCACAAACCATTTAGACAGTCTTTGAGATGTGACTGGAGAGCCCTTGTCATGATCAGCGTATTTAATGAAGAGTCTATCAGAATTCCTGAAGGATTCTGTGTGAGACCTGTAAAAGGCTAGGCAGCGTCGAACATCAAGTGTGTGGAGAGAGCGTTCAATCGGAATCGAAGGGGATAGAAAGAATGCAGGCAAGGCAATGTCCTGATTCAAATGAAATGATGTAGCCACCTTAGGAAGAAACGCTGAGTCCATCTGAAGGACGACCTTTTCCTTGTGAAAATTTAAAAATGGTGGATCTATATGAAGAGCACAAAGTTCGTTTGCCCTTCTGGCTGAAGTAACCGCAACAAGGAAAGCAGTTTTCCACGATACTAAGTGTAAATCCAATGTTGCCAGAGGTTCAAACGGTGGCTTTGTAAGTGCTTGGAGTACAACAGAAAGACTCCAAGTTGGCATGGCCGGGCGGACTGACGGGTGTAGATTCTGCAAGCCTTTGAGAAAATGGTGAATCAGAGGTTGAGAAAAGACTGATGAGCCCTATATGTTGCCCTGGAAATGTGAAATGTCAGCGGTGTAAACTTTTATAGAAGAGGGTTCGTCCCAAACGATGCAGTTCAAATAGAAATTGCAAAATATTCTCAATGGATGCCGATTCTGCAGAAAAGGAATGGCAGTCAGCAAAAGATGAGAATCTTCTCCATTTTGCCAAGTAAAAGCGGCGTGTAGAATGTCTTAGTGCAGATTCGAGGATATCAGGATGTAAAAATGTCAGTCCCAAGACGATGTCTGACGGTCCCGAAGGGAGAGTCGGTCCCGTACGTTGTTGAGGTGAGGATTCCGTCAGTCGGGATGCTATTGGAATCGATGGAGTAACTAAGTCCAGCGAATGTTCCACGCTGTCAATTTCAGCGAAGCCAAGTCCAGGTGTCGGATTGCTCTGTTGTGTTGTGTCAACAGATGAGGAACCGGTGGAAGCTGACGAAAAATGACTTTGGACTGAATGAGGAGAGTGGTGAACCAGAGTTGTCTCGGCCACCATGGGGTTATTAGTATTCCCGTAGCGTTGTCCTGAATAATCTTCGATACCACCCACATCGGAGGAAACGCGTAGAAATGCAGGCTGTTCCAATTGATCATGAGGGCATCTCCCCTCAAGTCCTGTCCGATACCTGCTCTGAAGCAAAACAGTTCACATACCCTGTTCTCTTGGGTAGCGAACAAGTCTATGTCCGGGTATCCCCACAAATGGAACAGTTCGTTGCAAATCATCCGATCCAACTCCCACTCGTGGGTTGTTGACATCTGCCTGCTCAGTGCATCCGCTTCTACGTTGCCGGTTCCTGCAAGGTGAACCGCCAGTAGTGTTATGTCCCTTGAGATACACCAATCCCAGATTTGCATCAACAGTTGAGCCAAGAGAGGTGACCTCGTCCCGCCTTGCTTGTTGATGTAGAAAACAGCAGCTATGTTGTTGGACGCAATCTGGACAACTTGGTGGTATATGACGGTTTCGAAGGATTTGAGAGCGTTGAAAATCACTAGAAGCTCGAGGAAATTGATATGCCTCGCCACTTCCTGTTGGTTCCAAGTCCCTTGAACCCGAAGTCCTGTACATGCCACACCCCATCTGATGAGGGACGCATCGGTGTACAATGTCACTGTCAGTTGAGGCGGTCGGAACAGAACGCCTACAGATAGGTTGCATACAACAGTCTACCATGTCAAGGAATGAAGAATCGAAAATGGGATCCGAATAAGCTTGGTTTGTAGGTCCCGCTGCGGGTGAAACAATTCGTTGAGAAACAATTTCAGTGGCCAAAGTCTGAGTCTGGCGTGTGGCACGATGGCAACTGAGGCAGCCATGTGTCCCAGCAGCCTTTGTATAGTAACAGCCTGTACTGTTCTTTGTTGTCGAATCCGATGAATGTGAGCACAAAGCGTGGCTCCGCGGGATGGAGGAAGAAACACTCTCTGTAGAATGGA